CGTGGCTTTCCTCACGGGAGACTTTTTCCCCCAGCCATTAAAAAGGGAAAGGCAGAGCTCCGTGGTGCTTAGGGCTGGTGTGAGGCTCTGCAGGGAGGCCTGGGATGGGGATGTCTTTCCTCCCTCCCTCCTTCCTCCAGCAATGTGCCAGTTACTGTAATAGGCCATTTATTATTATCACTTTGAATTTATATCACGAGTGTGTCTCGAGGCCTCGGCACACATCGGGGCTGTGTTTTCCCTGCCTGGTTTTCAGGCACTTCTGATTTGTGGAGCCTGTTCCAGGGCTGGAGGTCTTTTCCTCAGGGCTCTTTGGCTTTCAGCTGGCTTCACACGGTGTCTGGGCTGTTCATCCTGCCTGTTGTGCTGGCACTGTGCAGCTCCATAGCAAAGCCTCTCACCTGGAAAGGCTTGGGGGGGGGGCAGGGAGTCTCGTTCAGTGCAGCACAATGGGTCAGTGGGGGAGCTGAGCCACTGGAATATTGAGGGTTGTATTGATCCCAGTGCTGCAGCAATCCTGGGGTGTGCTGGGGTAATGTGTGTTGGGGAAATGAGTTACACAAATCACCCAAGGCCACACAGACAGAGCTGCACCCACCTCTCCCCCAGTGCCAGGCCATTCTTGTAGGCCTTTTTTCTGCACCAGGGCTGCTCTTCTGGCCTGGAGGGATGTGTTGTGCTGTACACTGGAGGTTGGAATTGTACAGTAACCCTCCCTAGCCAAGGCAGGTAATGTGGAAAGCTAAGCCAGAGGGAGGAGAGGAGAGGGGAGATGCAGCTGGCTGAGAACATCTACTGAGTTTGAGGCAGTTCTTCTGGTGTTCCAGCCAAGGGAGTCTCCTCTGGAGGCTGAGAGCTGTTTTCTGTCCCTGCTGGGGAGCATATCGACGAGGCAGCCCGAGCTGGGTCGATTCCCTGAGCTGCCTTCTGGGGCTCTGGTGGCTGTTCAATGACCTCATCTCGTCAAGGTTTCTGCAGCCTTGCTCCCCTCCTCCTCCCACCACCCTCCTGCAGCCCCGTCCTTTGCAAAAGGTGAAGGATGGAGTGTGCAGGAGGCTAAAATCCTTCTATTGATCCGTAGTCTGGAGAGCAATTAACGCAAGCCTTGCCGTGCTGCTCCGTGACCCAAGTGGGCAGGAGGGAGGGGGTGCACACACAGGGCTTGGAGAGTGGTAGCAGCACTGATTAAACCCATAGGTGGGCTGATTTCCACGGGGGTTTGCTTTGTGTCTCCCAGCTGGCACCTGAATGGCTCCAGGAGCACAAACTGGGCTGTGTCTGTAGAGCAGAGACAGTCTTGGCTGCAGCAAAGCTTTCCCTTGCTGGGCTAGCCAGAAGGTTTGCTCTCCATGACCCCTCCAGCCTTTGGCTTCTCTTTCTGAAGCAGCTGGAGATGAGGAGGAGGGAGGGAAGTTATAAATGGATTGCAGCATGGGTGGTGAGGGCTTTTACGTGGACACCTGTCCACACGACACCGGCCTGGGACGATGGATTCTTTTCAGTCCCCACACGCTGGGCCCCATCTGGTGAAATGCTCCATAATCCATTACCAGCCTCTTGGACCATCATTTATCACGGAGGGAGACAGAGGAGGCCTGGCAGGGAATGGATGCTGCCCTTTATGCCTCCTCACAGTCCTGCAGCAGCCAGTGACATGTCATTATTATAATCGAAGGTGCATCCCTTCCAGCCACTTGGCACCTATTTGTTATCATTCTCTGAGCTGCCAGAGCAGGGGGAGTGGATGTAGCCGTGCACAGGGATGGAGCAGACAGTGCAGTGTGTTCCCAAGCAGGGAAAGGAGGAAAGACAGCAGCTCTTCTGCTCTAGAGACTTTCAAACTGGACAGGGTCAGTGACTGGAGGCAGTGCTGAAAGCTGGTCCTGTGCTGGTTGCAGGTTAGGTGCACACTGAGCACAGGGACCACTGTAATCAACTCTAGAAATCCTTCCTGGGGTTGTTCCTGGTGGCTTCAGAGTGGTGACAGAGCTGAGGAGGTGGGAGCAGAAGGGCAGGGAGGACACCTGGACATGAGGCTCCACCATCCTGCCCACTCAGCATGGAGCTGAGCCTAGTGCTAAGCTCTGCAGTCACTGATTTTGGGGCTTTTCTGCAGTGAACAAGGATGTTTTACCAACTAATCTTGGTGCAAATAGGTTTCCACCCTCGAATTTTTACAGTTCTGTAGCACAGAAATTGCTAATGGGCCAAACCCCAAAGTATTGCTATTTACCTTCCCCCTCCTCAAAATATTTCCACTAGTCATTCCCTGGTATAAATGGGAAGGGAAAACAATCTCAGTGAGATAAACATTTTGGTTGTCTTTTATTTGTGTGCGGGTCGGTGGAAAATATTTCTTATTCCCGTAGAGTGGGTCTGCCTTGCCCTCAGTCTGCACACAGCAGGCTCTGTGTGTGTCTGTGGGCATGCTGACCTCTCCCTTCCTTCTTCTGGAGCAGGCAGAGACAAAGGGAAGAAAACCACAGAGGACAGAGGCTGCTGGAGGAGCAGCAGTTGCTGGCCCAGCTCTGCTGGCAGTGTCAGTAACCCTGCGAGTGATCCCTCACCCACTCTGGCTCCAGGACAGCAGGCACGTGTGTAGGAGAGGGACTGTGGGGAAACCTCACACCTTTCTCTTCATCCCTGCCAGCTGTGAGAGCAACATCTGGGCTGAATCCTTCCCCACACTGCTGGGGACACAGCAAAGTGCCTGTGAGTGGAGGGACACTCCAATCTGTGCAGGCTGACGTTAAACCCCTAGGATGGGTCAGGCTGGCTGGTGACTGGAGGATTCATTCCCAAGGCCTGTGTTGCTGCAATTCAATCCTTGGCTTGCTTTTGGAATAAGGAAGTACCTAATTTTGAAGCATTTGGCTGTGGCAGGTCGGATCCCCTCAGAGACACTCGCTCTGGCTGCAGATGGAGATGTCTAGGCTGAGTGTTGCCTCTGCCTGGAATCACTGGGTTCAGTTTTCCTTCCTCTGTTTACCAGGCTGCAGCCACTCTTCCAAAAGGGAGAGGGAGAATTCCTCCCCACCCTGAGCAGGAAAAATCCTCCCCCAAAATGGCAAAAATAGGAAAAACCTTCAGGTGTTTATGAGTGTTCTGTGAATTTTGACATAAGCAGCTGTGAGTGTCTCTCCTGGAGAACGGATAGGAATGGGAATGAGTGTCCTGCTGTCTCTCTGGTAGCTGGAGGTGATGGGGGAAGTAGCATCTTGTGAGCCTGGAGCTGAGGCTGGAGGGGAGGGACCGTGTGCCTGAGGGAAGGAAAGGCTGTGGCAGAGAAGGAGGATGTGAAGGAGGTGTGAAAGGGCCTGTGGTTGCCCACAGTGAGCACCTTGAGGATTCTGGGCTGGTGCAAAGTGCTGGCAAGGAGAGCTGCAAAGTGGCTAGTCCCTGAGGCATGGGGGGAGAGAGGAGGGCACAGCCCTCCATGGGATGGCTAGAGCTGGCAGAGGCATCAGACTCTCACAGAGTCCTAGAGTGGATCAGGTTGGAGGAACCACTGGACCTCATCTGGTCCAACCTTCCTGCCCAGGCAGGTTCTCCTGGAGTGTGTTACTGGGGATCATGTCCAAAGTGTTGGAGTGCTCCTGCCTTCCCTGCCCATGGCTCCAGCCAAGCTGTCCTGGCCATGCATCCCATGGCTATTTCAGACTGGGGTGGGTTGAGAATAAACGCTTGGAAAGAGCCAGAGTTCCCCAGTGATTCACGCTCCAGCAAGGCAGTGGCCACCAGGGAATGGTGCTGGGCTAGTTGTCATTCAGAGCACGTAGCCAAGGGAAGGGCTGGGGGAGAGGAACCCACAGGGCAGGCAGAGTTTTCCGCTTTGTGGTGCATGTGGAGCAACACTCCTTCAGGGTTTCTTCTCTCCCCTCCCCCTAGTTAGTTTTCTTTTTTTCTTCCCCCCACAGCTGAAGAACATTAAACACATGAAATGCATTAGCTGGGATTTTTCCTTCCCCTTACCCCCCCTTCCTCCTAAGCCAGGGACCTCCAGGAGGAAGAGGCCTATGAATTGACCCTGCCCAGTGCTTTAATTGACAGGTCATTAAAGATGAATGTGTGGCTAGAGAAAAATATTCAGTTTGCAGCCTGGTTGTTGTCCATGTGGGATTTTAATGATTTATGTTTCTTTCTCCTCCTCTCCTTCCTTACCCCCCCCTCGACTCCAAACAATCCAGGCACCATGGGAGGTCTGTTTCTGGATGGTGAGGAGAGCCCTGCACTGGAAGACATCAGCAAATGGACAGTGGAGGATGTTTGCAGCTTCGTCTCCAACTTGTCAGGCTGCACTGAGTACACTCAGGTAAATCTGAACATCCCTGGAGGAACATTCTCCCTCTGAGTGCTGTTCTCTCCCTCCTATCTGTGCCTCTTTTACTTGCCCTGTCCTTCCTAGAATATAGTTCTCAGAGCCCTGCAGAGCATGAAGCTTTTTGGGTTCTTTCCTAGTGGATTGCTAAGCTTGCTGCCAGTGAAGACCTTGAGAACATGTGTGATGAGTCTTGTAGGTGGAGCTCAGGACTCTTGTGCCAGGTGGGATCCCTGTCAGGGGAGCACTGTGTGTATCTGGCTGTAGGGAAGTGATTTTCCCTGTGGGTTGTGCTGATTTGGTTGTGTGCCATGGGGTAAGGTGCATCCCCAGAGGGGATGGGGAAGTGGACCCCTGGAATTGCCCCACACTCCACCTTCTTGCTCAGGTGATGGATAATGTGCTTTCAGTGTAAAGTCTGTCCTTCCCTGCCCTGAACCATGATGTTAATCCTGTGTTAAAACCACCTGGAGCAGACAGAGGGAATGTTATGGAGATGGAGGACCTGTAGCCTTCCCTTCCCCAAGTGGAGTGACAGAGATGTGTGATGGGGAGTGATGTGTGGAAGAGAGGTGAGTCAGGTTCTCATTGTGGAGGGAGGGAGGGATGAGAAGAGATGGTGGCTGGATGATGTTCATGGGAGTGATGAGCAGCAGGTCTGTGTGTGTAGGTTGGAGTTCAGGAGCTGAGTTTAGTGAGGATGAGGATGGGTTCAGCATGTGTGGGCTGCAGGTAAGAGCTCAAGCAAAAGGCTCTAAACCCAAACCACACAGCTCCTCACATTCCCTGTACCCCAGCAGAGTGCCCTCGGTGGTTTGTCTGCATTCCTGAGCTGGGGAAGGACAGAGTTGCCTGGAAGCTCCTGAATGGAGCCAGTAGGAAATGTGCAGAAATCTTGAACACAACTCCCTTGCATTCATCCATTTAGACCTTCCAGCCTGGGGCAGCAGTGGGGAAGGAATCAATAGCTGAGGCAGAGGTTCAGCAATCTTCCCATTGCATTCCAAACCCAGTATTTGCTGGTGCTGGGAGCTGCTGCAAACAGCTCCTGGCCGTGGAGCATTGTGTGGCTTGAAGGGATGATGTTTTTTATGTGATGGTTGTGTGCTTAACAGGTTTTTTACTAGGTGAAAATGCCAATGTTCAAGGGTGACCCAGCTCAGTTCCATGGCTCCAAACTGCAGAGCTGTCTGTGTTCCCTTCTCCAAACCCACAGCTGCAGGGGAGGTCTGGCACAGCTCTGCAGGCTGCTCCTGCCAGGAAAACCCAGCAAGGTTTGGTGGAATGCTGTGCATTCAGAAACATGTTTCAGGCAAACAAGGAAACTTGAGCAAACAAAAAAAAAAAAAGTCGCCACGGGCTGGAGGGTGTTCAGCTTTGTCTCTGCAGTGGAGCTGTGGGACACCCAAGGGGATACTTTTCCCAAGTTAAGGCTTTTTGTGAAGTGTTTTAGTGTTGGGCAAAGGGAGGATTTTTGGCTCTTGGCCACACTGGCTGCAGAGGAAGGAGAAGAAATCAATGTAGTAAGTTGTGCTGGGTCAAAAAGCAACAACACATGCTGCAGCTTTGCTGGAGGAGTCCAGCAATAAAACACCACTTGGCTCCAGCAGCCACTGCCACTCTCCAAAGGGATGGCTCCAGGCTATGAGCTGCTGCTGCTGCTGGAAAAAAAACCATTGGGGGGAATTTAGCCTCCCCTCCCAAAGTGTTTGTAATGCTAACACTCTGTGTGAGCCATTGCAGGGGGAGAGGGCAGGATCAGGCCCCACAGCTCATTTGGGGAGCATCAACCATGAGATGAGGTGGGAAAAGTGCTGTGGAGGTGGAGGGTAGTGAGGGAAAGCAGGTATGGGGTAGTAAGGAAAACAGGGAGCCAAGGGGAGCTGCTGGCTGAACTACCAAAGGGTAGAAATTCAAGTAAATTACCATTTACTCTTAAAACTGAGCCTGTTGGTCCATACAGACACCCCAAGGAGTGCTCCATGGGTGAGGAATGGAACATGCAGCCAAACCTTAACCTTGCTAACCCAACACATATTAGGTGGAAAACTCTTGCCTGACCCTGTCACTTGGGATAGACTGAGGCAAAACAAAGGGATTTTCTGCCTCCAAGTGTGTTCAAATGGTGGAGTTGTGCATGGTTGGGTGTATTAATGTGTTGGTGTGAAACTGCTGGTTTTTAAGGCTGTGCCAGCCTCTGTGATGGTTTGTGTGCACATCACCAAGTTTCTGCTTCCCTCAGCTAACTGGGAGAGGGGGAAGAGCCCTGGGATACTGTAGCATGTGCTCCACAGATCTGTGTATGGATTTTGCCTGGAGACTGTTTGGGAATTAGCAGCTTTAAGCAGGAAAGGCATGAGCAAGCAATCCCTGCTTTTCCATGCCTCACTGCAAAATAGTTTTGGAGTCTACTGGGTCAACTTTTTTCCCCCCAATATCCACACAAATGTGAGTGGTTTAGGATTTTCCCAAAGAGAATCTTTTCTCTTATGTCTTCTGGCCTTTTTTTTTTGGAGCTGGGATAGGACCCTTGGGCATGTCACTCCTCTCAAATCTGCTGTCAGAGACTGTCAATGTTGGTTTGGGGGCTAAACCTGGGATGTTCCCAGAGGAAAATCCTCCCACCTCATCCCAACATGAGTAAGTAAATAGATAAATGAATACTGCTTTATTTAAACTGGCCAAAGCAGCAATTAATTCCCATTCCCACATGTGTCTCCTTCTACTTGTTGGCTCCTGGCTGTGTGTACTGGACTGTAAATACCTCTGGGGGATAAATACAGGCAAACCTCAGCACTGAGGCTGTCTGAGGTCACCTTTTCCACACAGGACAAGTGTCTCAGGTGTGTCACTGGCATGTCTGACCCTGGACCTGTGCTCTGGTTCCCTCAGGTATTCCGGGAACAGGCCATCGATGGGGAGACCCTGCCCCTCCTGACAGAAGAGCACTTACTGAACAACATGGGGCTGAAGCTTGGACCTGCACTCAAGATAAGGTCACAGGTAGGGAAAATCTCCTCTGAACTTGTCCCTGAGGCTGGCAAGAACATGGTTTATTGGCTATAACTCATTAACTGTTGGGTTGTTGAGTTGTCATTCTGGTTTCAAGAGAGCTTGATGTGTCCTTCAGAATGTTCTACTCACAGCTGGTTCAGGAAGCCACCACAGACAGAATTCAGTGCTCAGGGGCAGAAGCAAATAGTTCAGGAGAGGTGATGGGAGGGAGTAAAGTTAACAGAGATGCAGCACAAACTCCTACAGGGGACTGAGCCCTGCTAGGAAAGCACATCAGGCTGTTCCCACAGGGAGGAGGAAGAGATGTGAACAGGTAAGGGAGGTGGTTTCACAGCAGCTGAACCTGAAAATCATCTCAGAGTATCTAAAGAAGGGGGTAAAGCCATCTCAGGAACCAGCTGTCACTTTTCTAGGCTGGATTGTCCTTTTGCTGCTCCCATTACCTGGGTGTAGGCCCTGGCAGTTCTCCTTTTGAGCAAGGCCTGAAGCATCAGCTGCTGTGCCTTTCCCTCCCCAGTGAGGAATGGCCCAGCTCTTGTCCTCCTCTGCTGTGCCAGTAACAGACCTCTGTAAGAGTTTTATCTCTTGCCAGTTACAGCTTCCTGGTCCTGCTGA